AGTGTAGAGACACAATCCTGATAAACAAAGAAATAACCTTTGAGTACTTCAGGGTTCAGCTAAGAAGGAACAGCAAAGAAGGAAAGGAAAAGCAAATTAATCCTCTAAGCAATCTCCTATTTGTACTGCTCCTTTCACCCCACAAAAGGCTAGTCAGATAGATATGAGGTTATTTTCAAAGCCGCAGACCCTGCACTCCCACGTTTTCCCTGGGACTGCAGATCTCCAGAGTGGTTATGGAGAGAATTGTAACCCTCGAGGAATTGGCTGACTTTCTAACGATGACAGCTGTTACATGCCAGGACCAGTAATGCAGGGGTGTGGTAGAATCACAGTCCCTGGATGCTTGGAAGTGCCAGTCAGGCAAGCACTCATCTGGGATAGCCCAAACACAGAGGCCCCTTCTACTTCTGGGACAACCTGTTAGCACGTCTATCTTATCCTGTTAACCTTTTTAGGGCTTGTCTCTGTCCTGGGACAAAATCCATGGACATCTGAAAGCCTACACTTTATCCCAGGATAAATGCAACATGTTTTAGTAGATTATGTCAGCTAAATTCTAGCCTGGGGTGCCCTCCAGGCCTACTTTTCTATTATTCCAAATTTCCCCAATTCTCCACCTTCTGGGGAGGGGAAGGCCATCAGGGGGTAAAAGTCCTGTTAAAGAGCTCCAGTCCTGAGACACCATGGCTCTCTGAAGCCCCCAGGAGAGGGCAGTGCCTTGAAAGGCCCCAGAAGCCAAACTACACAGGAGGAAATGATAGATAGCAACGTCATGCACAGCAGAATTCAAAAGAAGAGCTGGTGAGAAAGGGTCAGCAATGACCCTAATGTGAACCAATTGAATTGGGCAGGCCCATCCAGAGCTAGAGCGGAGAAAATGAGGGTGGAGTGAGGGAAAGGTCAATCCATGTGCTGTAGATGAACTCTTGAACAAGTAAGGGAGGGAGACTGGTGACTTGATATCAGGACACACAGATAGGATGAAGGGCTTGGTTCTGAGGCTGGGTGAGATCTGAGTGCACTTGCATTGTTAGTTAGAAGGGATCAGGGGTCTGTGGGAGGTAGAGGAGGATGCCAGGGCAGCAGCTGGGACAGAAACAATGGAGACAGGAAGAAGTATGATAAGACATACCCCTACTGATCCACTTCCAACTCCTCCTCTCCAGCCTCCCAAACCTCCACTCCACTCTTCTCCTGCTTCTAACACCTCCATCATTTCTCCAGCTTCTGACACCTCCATCTGCTCCTCTCCTGCTTCTGACACCCTCATCTCATCTCCTTCCTCCAAAACCTCCCTCTGTTTCTCTTTACTTGCCTGGCAACCTGCTTTTCCACCTTTCTGGCAACTGCCTTCACTATGACATAACAAGGTTCCAAATGCTCCGCCATCAAATCACCTCATCAGCCCCCAGATAGCCCACTAAGAGCTGGCAGATTTCGTTTTGCAGAGCTCGTGGTGCAGTTGTAAGGCACCAGAGAAGACGCACCCTTTCCCAGGGAGTTTTACGAGCTTTATGAGCTTTGTTTTCAACCCTGAACAACTTATTTGTCAGGGAGGGGACATGCCAGAGGCCTTGCCTTGCCTGAGCACTAGAGGGGTCAGGCATCTGGGAGATCCCTGAAGCTAGTGAAATTGTAGACTACATCAAATTCTGACTTGGATCATGGCGGTTTATTTCAGGCATAGCATTAGGGGAGGGGAGAATTAGATTAGACTACCCCCCATGACTGCTCACTGATGTCCCCTTTTCCAGGTGCAGTGCAGTCCACATAGTACCCATACAAATCAAGTCTCTCTCTCTCACTCCCTGTTTTCCCACTTGACTTTCCTGCCAAGCCTTGACCCTACAGTGGGTGAATACCTGAAGGAAGAGAGCCTTCCTGATAAGGTATAGCTCCCTAAAAATTGAGACCCCTCAGGATTTATTAGTGTGTGACCCAAGGAATAGTTACTCCTTCCCTTTCCTCCGCAATGTTCTTTAGGGTTTGTTATCCATCCTTGCTAGACACATTCCCATCCATTGTTTTGTCTCAGTCTCTTGGGTCCTTTTCTGAACCAACATAAGAATGGAAGAAGTACTATACTGGGTCAAACCTTTTCCTAGATGTTCCTTTAGCCACAAGTACAATATAAAAAAAAGAGCACAATCAAATTCAGCATATAGCTTCAATCACAGGAGGTGCAAACCATTTTGGAAAAGCCAAAATGTTTTATTTTGACACCTTTTTTAGATGAAGTATTTCATTTTTTTGTTTCAAACCCACATTTAGCTAGGGTAAAATATTTAAATACAAGACCCACCACAAACAAAATGTTTCACGTGAGCCAAATATGTTTTTTGAGGGATTCTGGTCACACAACTGAAAAACAAATTATTTGGACAACTCTAATAGCTAGATGTACTTTCCTGCCGATAAACTATATTGGGAAGATTTTGGTTATCAGATGGAAGTTACAAGCCTTCTCTGGTGGTATAACTGGAATACTGATTTAATCTTTTCAGGTAACTTCTATTAAACCATACTGCTGTACCACCAACAGTAGGCTTTGATAAACAAGACAGAATAGAATCAGACTTGCTCTTTCTTAGTAGTGCAACATTGAAAGTAAATCCCAATTAGTCACTACAACAAACAGATGTATAACTTGGGAAGGTGACGTACAGCTAACCAACTATAACCATGCTGAATGGAGTGTTACAATTTTAATTGAGTTTTCTTACTGGGCCATACTGAAGTGCAGAGGAAGCCTCTTATCTCGATTGTCCCTTATGGTTAAGCTTAATGTATGTTTAAAGAATGTCACAGCAAAGTTTTAGAAATGTGGAGGTTTGCTCCCAAAAGTTAGTTCTACATAACAATTCAGTGTTGGTAGTGTACCCTTTCAAAACTGTGTTCCCAACAAGCAAGGAAACTCCACAGTTAAAATGGTCACTGTGGTTTTAAGTACCTGGAGAATCCAATAAACAAACCATTCAATTTTTTTAAACAAGCCTCATGCAAGATACTTTGCTGGGACCCAGAGTAGAGAGATGGGCAAAAGTAGCAGATAATAACAAATATCTTAGCTTAGTTTCCTAGCTTCTAAATGGCTCCTAAATACCTCATCTTAGTTTCCTAGCTTCAGACACAGTTGCAGAACAGCCATGGCATCTCACTACAGAGGTGTGAGGTTAAAGTCTTAGTCCACACTTGCAGTTCACTCAGCAGTAAATGGGTTCCTGGTCATTCAGACTATGGAGTCCAAGGCAGCCAGACAGGATTGCTGACTACATCACTCTCTTGTGAATGGCCTGCAGACTGACTCCACACCACTCATCTAGGCCATAGACCGACCCTGTGAACTAGATTTGGTCTGCAGACCGACCCTATGCCACTCATCCAAGCTTACAGGGCTAGATGAGTTGGGCACCACTGGAATAGATGAACTTTTAAGGTCCTTTCCATCCCTATTTTTCTGTGATTCTATTCACAGTCACACCCTACGTATTTACATTCTGTATTTGCAGAAGCGAAGCGAAAAAAAAAAGTGCTTTTTGCCAAGCCTTGTTGATCTGGACCCTAATCAGATGTGCCTGCCACAGTGGTCATAAAAGCTTTCCTGGCACAGACCCTGCACCCCAATTTTCACAGCTGCAGATCAGCTGTAACAATGTGCTGCATGAATGTTAACAGGCACATATGCAAAGGTGCTACCCAAATAACAGACTCCAGAAGCATGTGATACAAACCAAAACCCCCCTGAAACCCACCAATCCTTACTGTACTGCACAGCGTATTGTGTGCTTTTGATGACATCTGCTTTTTGCCCATTAACTATAGTAGTCTGGAGATAGTGGACTTTAAAATTATTACATTTAATCAGCTGATTTTGGTTATGTTAATGAGATCTAGACCTGTATAGATGCTAGATTTCCATTTCATGAAGGATTTGGAGATTTCAACTCAGAATAAAAACATAACCTTTCAGAATTCTTAACAAATAAATACTCTCCCCACAAACCCCTCTGGGTCAATCAAACTACCTTATTTATTTATTTTTTTTTTTAAATATAAACCAGAATTCAAAATTAAAAGAAGAAACAAAAAGTAATTTCCTTTCCAAATTAAAAATCAAAATGGCTCATTATGAGGTTACTGAAACAGAACTTTCTGGCATGGTGGCACGCGTCTCCCTCCCTCTGTGTTCTTTAGAAATAATATTCCAGCCAAATTGACCTTATTTTGGAAAAGCTTTTTGAGTGTCATAAAATTACTCTGACCAGCTCTCAGGCTAACTACAGCTGAGGTAAGCAGCTTGGGGATGAGTATTAATAGATGGAGGAAATTGGAACACTGGTTTCTGATGTATGGCTATGCTCTTCTTATTTTATGCCCATGTATTTCAAGGAGTACAATGGAGCACTTCACACCAGTGTCACAAGAAATGCAAGGTCAATTGAGTATAAAATACTGACTTTTGTATGATTAATAACTCTGCAAAAGATATTTTTCTGTAAGACACGTGACATACACAGGGTGTGCAATGGTATGCAGAAGTGTGTGGTTGAGGTGGCTGGCACTGGCTGCAACCAGAAGCAAAGTTGATAAAAACATATGATCAGATACTCTACACATTAAAAACTGTCAATACACTAAGAACAGGAACATTTCCATTAGTAATACCTATCTGCCCACAATACTGTCCTGTGGGGAGGACAGGAGGTGGGGGGGGGGGATGGAGTTGGGAGTAGTGAGGGGAGAAGAACTCTGGATCAGGAATGCTGAATCCAAATCACATGTGTGTTTCATGGCTAACTGCTTGGGAAAAAAGTATTGTGGCTATCATGATGTGACTCTTTGCTGGGGTTATGCAGAAGCTATGTCATATCTATACAGTAGGAAATCCAAGAACAGACACTGACCTATCTTGTTTAGGAGAGGGCTCCCCTAAACAATTCAAGCACATCTTTCGGAAAGGGCAGTCTACTCATTCCTGAGTCAAGTTTCAGTCTTACCCTTGATGTTTATTGCTGGCAATACGATAGACATCTTTGGCCTTCTAGTCTTATTATGAGTGGTGGCTGGCAGCAGTAGGTGATCCTGGAAAACATGAAATGACACGTTTCATTTGTACTGGAAGCAACGCATTAAGAAAATTCCTTTCCATTCTGTGTTACATACATTGCACAAAAATCTATTTATGATGGCCTGGCATTTTCAGACTGTTCAAAGGAAGCTTCCAAAAGTCACAGCAAACTTCCCATATTGTATAACCAGAAGAAATCCCTATCACATGTGGCAGCCTCTAAAAGAGCCTTGATCATCGCATGGAAGGGGATGGATAAATCTATTAGATGCTGGTTCACCACAGCCCTCATGTACGTGATTAAATTTAACTTGACTTCAGTGGGATTTAAGGATGCAGCTAGGGGCTCTGCTGGACTGGAACCTTTGCTTGCCAGTGTTGTTTGGTTTATACAAGTCTCATCTTGTTGTATCTAAGACAAGGCCTACAATGCAAATTTTTACCAGCAGATACATACCAGTTTGGGATGTGATAAAGTGTGACAAGGCCCTCAGCTGTGCTGACTACTGCCCCCAGAACAGATAAGTTATACTGGCACAACAGTGCTCATGCCAGGATAGCTAAGTTCACTAAGTGGGAGAAGGGGCTAGAGTAAGCTGTCTTTGCAGAGTGCTGTTTCATGTCTGTAAATGGTGTCCTCAGTAGGAGTGTTTGGCCAGTACAGTACAGCAAGGTGCTTCCAATGTGGACTTGGCCTAATAGGCAAGAAATGGTTTTCCTCTGCCTTTCTGATGAAAGCCAATGAACTGAGATGCGTTGGGTTTGCGGCCTAGGAAAAAGAAGTTATTTTCTTATTAACAGAACTGTTCAAACACAAGAGGCAGCAGCCCAAGCATCTCCATTACTGCCTCATCATATCAACCTATGTGGACTCTAAGAACTGAAGAAGGGTTCAGTTTCCAGTCCTCTTCAAAACTCAGCCTTCCTGCCAAAGTGCTAATGGTTGTTACAAACAGGTTATCAAACAGCTGTTAGGGAAGGAATTACTTTTGGTCATTCTTAGTATCCAAGTTTTTATTTGCTCTTTGTATATATTCATTTAGATTTCTAAACTGCCTCAGGCTTTAGACATTTTTATGAGTTTGAACTATAAAAAAAATTAAACTGACAATCACCAAACACTTTCTTCCACTTCCAAGGTACAAAATCACAGTTCTCCAGCTGCAATTAGCAGCAAACATCTTGGGGGCCAATTCTTCTCAAAGTTACATCATTGTTAGCCCACAGATTTCATGGAACTGAGGAGCAAACCCAGCCTATTTGTAAAACTTTAGATATACGGTACAGAGACGTGTAAAGAAAGCTTTGTGATGTTCTTCATTACCAGACTGGCTTATGTGCCTTACCCTTTCAAAGACCCAGCTTTCATCCCAGAGTCTGACATTCTCTTCCTGTATCAGCTGTTATGCCTGAGTGATCCTGCTGTGATTCAAGTGAGCTGAAGCAGATTTAAAGTTGGGGGTGGGGGGTTTGTTACACTTCTGTTGCTACAGAACCATTCAGATGAAATAGCTACATCACTGGTATTCTTTCAGATCAATATAAATGTTATATTTATGTACAGCCTGAAATAGTAGGAAGAGCCAGAAATCAGGATTAAGGTTCATGGGCAGGGGTATTTTTCAGAAGTCCACATGTTGCTTCATGCAAGGCAGTGCTATTTGCCTCCCAATTTAATGAGGACTGTATTTACTTAATTTTTCTTTAAACAAATGCACACTTGTTCTGTATGAATTCCATGGTGCTGTAAGGGAGTTCTTGATATGAAGCTGTTAGATGAACCAATATGTTAGGTATTTTGCAAAACAATACACTTTGTGCTTTTTCAGCAATGAAAAATAAAACAGATTACTGTCCACGGCAGTACAAAACAACCTCAATAAATAACTTGATTGAAAAACAACCCTGGCTCTGAAACCACAGCAACAATCATGCTGGCACTAAATACTAAAAACTCAACATTCAAGTGTTGTTGAAGTTATGACAAAGCTCAGCGAAGGACATCAACTTCACAGAAAAAGATATTATGAAAATCAACACAAAATGTCCCAAGGGAATTACTTAATGATAAGATCAACATTAGGTTTCATTCCCTAGCAGGGAATCTGAAGACTGTTTTTAATGCTGGGGCTTTTTTTGCTTTTTTTGTATTTTATGATCTTGATTTTTTTTTTCCAAAGGAATTTTTCTTCTAAAGGTATAAATAAAAGAGTATTTTTTATCAAACACTGGAGCTGCTTCTTACATGAATAATAAACTTGTTAATGATTAGCAGATTTAACTTTGTAATTATTACAGGATCTCTTTGATCAAAAACTTTAACGCCAGTGAAACAGCCGGCACTTTAACATGTTTTTGGTAGTATACTTATTTAGAAAATGAGAGGAAGTATCTATCTGAAAGCCACTATGCTGAAACAAAGCAGCAGCATTACAAACATACCAAATTACCATTCAGCACAGTAACAAAGCAAAACCCCGTTTAAACTGTATGGCATTCATACAAATATTTGCTTCCTAAGATGCGTTTCTAAAAAGGTACCAGTGCTGGAAAAGGCCCTGGTTAGGAAGGTTAGAACAAACACCTCTGAGCAGATACAGAGCAGACACTGTCAATGCCAGCTTCCCTGCAATGGTCCCTGGATAGCTATAGATGCCAGTGCAATCATCTCACACCTCCCTCACGAACTCCCCTCAGACCCCTCGTCATCGCTGAGCTGAAAGTCTTGGCTTCAATCTACAAGGCACTTAATAGATTCCAACCTAGCTAACTTAGAGGTGATTTGCCTTCCATGACTGTCCAAACAGCCAAGTGACACAGGACTGGTATAACCTGGGCATATCCCGGTTCCATCAATCAGCCACAAAGAACATTGGTGTGGTCCTGGCAAAAGCATCATTTACCAGAAGAGAATAACTTGTGCCTGTTAATCCAATGTTTCAGGATTTCTCCTTGATTGCCTGTAGGGGCCAGGAAGTTCCTGGCTTCGTTCTTCTATTCAGAGTTACACTGATTGCCAAATTTGGAGCCAGGAAGAAACATTTCTTTTACATCAGCTTGGCAAGGACTTTTGGAGGGGAGTGGGGAGAGGGAGGGTTGCCTTCCTCTAGTGTAGAACATGGTTCTTTTCTAATCATCTTCTGCATACATATTAGCAACAACTTCCCTGTCATTGTAGTGGCAGGGCATTAGCAGTGTCCTTGCCTCTCCTGTTTTTACCTATAGTATGTTATAGGATCCTCTAGGTGTTATGAGTACTGTGTTTTGTAGTACATGTGAGGGTCTGAAGTGGTCTTTATGTAGGCGGTACTTACATATGCAGGCTTCTGGAACAAATGGCCCAGGAGGTCTCTTCCAGCCTGTGTTCCTATAACTAAACCTAGCATTCAGATCAAGGTGTACAACATAGCACTTCTACTCAGTCTCTCTCAGAAGTTAATCTTTTACAAAAAATCTGCTGCCCCAGAAGAACAAAGAAAGACATCTTTTTTTCCGGACCACAGTTACAGCTACTACACAATTAAAAGGACCATACAACAAACAGTCCCATTAACCAAAACCTGCAATGAGATGATGCAGACTCCTGTCTACTGGAAACCAGAATGAAACTCATTTCACACAGAATTACTGGAAAGCCTTCAGATGATGACTTTCTGTTGTTGCTGCACAGGGTCAGCATTGAACCTTCAAATTAAAATTGAAAGGCATGAGGCTCCTGTGAGCAAAGAGACAAAGGCTAGCAACAGATGTTGGGTTTGTCCCAGGACAAGTTATGCCAATGTTTGTTCCAGAAGAGAAAATGTACACACATCATTCTTCCAATCAGGATTTAGTGAACAGCTGAATGCACTACTGTTTTCTACTACTGATTCAAAAATGCAATCGCAGAACAACCATTCAGACATACTTTGCATTGTTCCAGGACAAATTGTTAGCACTTCTTATCTTTTTATGGGGTTGTCCAACAGACGTGGATGTTTGAAAACGTATACTTTATCACAGGGTAAGATGATTTCTCCCAAGACAAATCATAGAATCATAGACGAGACATCTGTTTCTAGCCTAAACGGGCTGAGTTCTGGCTGGGGTTCTTGCGGGGAACACTTTGGAAGACTCTGTGTGCACGCTTTGCTGTAGTGTAGTTTCACAGTAGGACCTCCAGAAGCCCCTTTTCAGTGCAGGAGAAGGCAACAGTCTGGGCCTAGCAGCAGGCCCCAGGGACTGCTCTCTGATTGGTTCCTGATAACACTATGTTTCATTTTATTGAGCAGTGTTAGTCTCTGGGTTAACTACCATAGCTTTGTTACACTTTGTTGCTAAAATGGCATATTGTGCTTGAGGAGAAGAAAAGGAGCCTCTGGAAGGAATAGCAAGAGAGAAAGCTGGAGATCCGAGGAGGACAGGAGAACACAAGGAAATGGCCAGACTGATATTAGGGATGCTCAGAGGCTGTTTGGTGCTCTGCACAATAAAGAGTGGTTTGAAGTAGAGCTGTCTGCTGTGCTATATGCATGGTGTTGGCACTCAGATCTTCTCGCCCCTTCTTCTTCCCCCCATTCCTCCCAGGACCTATGGCGAGGAGTCTCTGAGTTGGGGTTGCCATGGATAGGTGGGGGAGCACGGTCTCCAAGCCGGAGGCTTGCCCCTCTAGATGCTATGCCAGGCCTGGCTGAAGGGGTTCTTCCAAAAGGATCACCAGGCATGGCTTTTTGTTGAGGGGGAAGGAAGAAGTGTCCCAAGGCACAGCTTCTTCTGAAAATCCGTGACAGCCCATTTTGTCATTTTGTTGGGTTAACAGTTCCTCCAAACAGCTAGACAGAACCTGCCCACAAAATGGGAGACAAAACAATAATGCAGAGCACTATTATGTGAAAGAGCTGCTTCTGCTAACCAAAGCTAAGACTTTTAAATGGACTTCCTTTCCTATTCTGGGGTACAGAATGTCTGTGAAACAGCACTGGGCTTGGTTGCGTGCTCATATGCCAATCCACAAGCTAGTGGTCTGTTTTTATAG